CAACTCTCCAGTTTTGGAGTTATTGCCCTTTGTATTCACTATTATTAGTTTGCAAGGACCATACCTCCAAAGGTATTTGAGATATAGACTTGAAACTTTATATTAAACAAAACTTCCGTATGCTGTTTTTAATTAAAGAAAACAACACTGGGACAGTGCAGATAAAAGTGAAAAGCAGAGCATAAGGCACAGAAGTGTTCACTTAATGCTTCTTTGTTGTTGTTTTTTTCTTTGTTTTTTTTCAGGAGTGTTATTTTTGTCATGATTTATTATTTCTAGACTATAACTTTTCATTAATTTTCACGAGTGGCATTACTTGGATTTTTACATGTATGTAAGGGTTACATCCCCTATGAAATGTATTTCCTCCTTTTCGGCGGGGGATTTTACTGTCTTTGATTCCCCATTGTATGATTGTTATTATTTTAACGTCATTTAAATATCCTGAAATCAATTTTGGTTTTATACAATAAATATAATGCTCAAATGAAGATTTATCAATATTGTATGTTCCAAAAAGCATTATTTGTAAAGATGATACCGAACTTATATTTCATAAAGGGAGGAAATTAGAAATATATTTTCTTTTAAGTGTAAGTTGAATTCTTAAATAAGAAATGAATGCATACATGTATATTTCAATGATTACATATAATGTGGACAAGCATTTGCAGTACGTATTTCACATATTCCTTAATGTTTGAAAATTGTTTTAGTAGCATATTTATATACATATATATAAAATTTCCATTGTAGTTACAAAGATATGGTAAAGACTGTGATAAAGAAATAACTGTGATCTTTGTTTTCTCATTTATTTAACTTTGTTATTTTCGGTAAAAATACGTACATATGATAACTTTCATATTTAAAAATGTCAAAGTTGTCAATAACTGTGATGCATGCTTTATATGCCATGGTATGGCAGTACATTGACTTATTAACTAGTTCATGACAAAAATGATTCACATGTTGTTCTTTAATAAACTATTCAAATCAACCGATAGATATTGACTTCTTTATGTTCATAAACGTACTATTATAATGCTATAAAATCTAAATCACAAGTTTAACAAACACGCAAATCATTGGGTTTTAAATTATTAACAAGATCAGCAATTATTGAATAAATGCAGGCCTCTAATATGTGTACGAGTACAACAGAATCTTAATCCAGTATGGTACTAAACAATGTATAATAATTTCTTTATAAAACACCACCATTGTTTTAACATCTCAAAAGAAACTTTATTCTTGAGATCCAAACTGTCCATTTAAAGTCTTATAGTCCTATCTTTGTTGTTGGCAATAATTTTGAATCATCCCTTCGAATCCAACACAAGCCAAGTGCACCTTTTTGTAAAGTGATCCTGTCAGTTGAAACTTTGCCATGGCACCGGGTCCTACCCAACGACGTAAGAAGAGATCTGTGTAAAAAGAAGGTAAAAGTTAATGTCGCCAAACACAGTAAATATTGACAAAATGATTTAAAAATTGTAAGAATAATCCATAAAAGCTTGGCACATCAATGTGCTTTCAAAATGTATGTATTTGGGTCCGAGTGGGAGCATTTTCCATTTCGATAAAAAAAACTTTAAAAGACTGACTTTGGAATAGAAATATTTGAAACTAATATAGAAAAATGTGTAAACATGACTCGGTTTATATTCTGGTACATTGAAAATAATTTTCAAGAAGGTTTTCAACCTTATTTCATATATGTTTCGGGAAAAGTCCGAGTGGGAGCATTCAGAGAAAAACACTTATCCCGTTTTCAGGCTTAAACCAGGCAATAAATCTATAAACTTTTTTTACAATTATCTCAAGTACTATAGCCATTCTTTGGTGCACTACATGATTTTTTAATACTCTTACGTTTTCTTATAATAAAATTGAATTTTACCTTCGAATCGACAAAAAAATGGTCCAAGTGGGAGCATTCAGCAGGTGCGCGATGACGTAGTATCCTACCATTGATATATAGGCTAGGCATTTTAGCCAAAAATAAGACCCAACCTCAAACAAATTCCTTCAGAAAAGATATTTGCATATTTGTTATCTACTATATATGTGTTGCTACAGGAAAAGTCCTCAAAAAAATTCGAAGTATAAAATGCTAAAAATGTCATGTTTTGAAATCATGTGTTTTCAATTAGAAAAATCTGTGAAATTAAATAACCCAGATATTCTACGCAAATATGGTCATTAACAAAGTAACACAATAATACACAAACATGCTTTATTTAATCCAAAACACTTCAACCAATGTTGATTACATTCTAAAAGTCGCAACACTGCATAATCTATACATCATCATTTAGACTGGTATAAAACATTACCCCACCCACTAATGATAAAATATTTTTTTTACTTTAAGTAAGATTCCATTAAATATTCTTACAAGTTAGCTGTACCAAGAATAAAGTTGTATGAATCTATCTAAATTCATATTATAATTCAAAATTGCAATACATTTTACACGAATAATTATTATTTATATACATTGTATTTGCATTTCTGTTCTGAAAATCAATCCTTCAAGTAAATATCTCCTCAATGCTAAATTTCACTTACTTTACCATGGAAGTTTTGTAAAAAAAAATTATTATAAAAAGACATTTTACAATAAAAGTAATCTTCTGAATGTTAAGACACTGAAAAACACAATGTTATTTCATCATTTTTGTCACCGAGGCCCGACTATCCATATAGTCTGACAACGCTACACATGTATATATACATATTGCCCTGCCCTTGCTGAAATTATATCTCCACTTTTTCGGCCGGTGCTGTTGAAACCTTTAGCCTATACCCTTTTCACAGAGACACATTGTTTCGCATCTGTAAAATTGTTACAACATAATATGATAAATAAAAATGCGAACTTTGCATTCTGCTTTTAAAATAAAACAATTGTATGTCAAACTGAAAATGTAGGTACTATGAAAAGCAAGATAGGATTGTGCTTTTAGATTTATATTTTTATATTGAATTATCTACAAATAATTCATACATTAATGAGGCACGTTTAGCTTCAGCAAAAACGTGCCTCAGCTTTCTTCTTTAGAAAATATGTTTCATGTTATATTGTTATAACAAATTAAAAAAATTTAAAGCGTGAAAATCGGCTGAAAGAAGCGCTGACTGTGAAACATCATAATGCGCCATATAAGTAGGAAATACTGAATAAAAAGGCACCTATACGAGGGCTGTCCGGAAAGTTCGTAGACAAGGCTATAAAATTATTATAAGCAGTCATATCAATATGATGATTGAATATTTTGCTAAACTATTTATATGCTACAGTACATATTTTTAAATTAAAAAACATAATAAAAGTAATATTCGCAAAGCGACAATCACCATGGCAACATGATCAACAAATCACGGAGCACTTTGATTTCATGACGATAGCTACTTGAATAATAAGTTGCTAAAAGATGTATTTTCTACGCAAACTCTCGTTTTAATTTTGCGACATCAAATGATACAATTGCATGATATTTTGTGAAAATTATGACGTCATACGTAAATAAACAGCTTGTTAAGGACGGTTTTAGGCAATGAAGGTGCGTAAATTTTGTGTTGCAAAATGACGTCAAATTCAAGGACGGAGCAAAGTTATGTTATTTAACTTCATAGCAACTCTAATATGGGACCAACTGAGATTTTAGCCGTTACTTTAAAAACAAATTCAGCCATAAATTGTTCAAGACAACTTGTGTTTAAATGTCAAACAAGATTAAGAAGCGGTAATGACAGAATTAGGTAAAAGAGCGCTCCAGACGACCATAAGTAGCATGGCCAAAATATCGTAGATTGCGTTATAAAATTCTTTGGAAAAGACAGACATCTCACACACACTGTATGGGAACCAGTGACATCTTTGTTTTTAAATTAATTTTCGTACAGATAACTAAATTAGAAGTTTTGGTTGAGTGTTTAAGGTCACTGACTTCAAAACACTTGCTTCTTACGGTGTTAACGATGTAGGAATCTGGATGTAGGTTCGAGTCCTGCCTGGTTTTTGGAATCTATTATCTGACATAGCTATCCCAAACTAACTTATAGAATATTGGTGGTTCTATGCGATAAAAATAATACCTATGTCACACTTTTTCCTTCACCAGTAAAGCTTGAAAGTTATTATATGACCTGTAAAGTGTTGATGTGACATAAAAACAAGCAAACAAATCTCTGATCTTAGTAATTCCGAGAATGAAAACTGAATTCCCTTTAGAAAAGTTATATATGCAGTAGCACACAAAATTGAATCTGGTACACCAACTGTGTATTAAAATTATAGAGAGTTTTTCTTTGATTTACCTGTTAATCGCTTTTCAAAAATGCTAGATCTTTTCAAACATAACCAATTTAGCCTCTCCTAACTTGGAAATATGGAAAATTCTTGCCACATCCAATCAACGGATTGATTTATGTTCGCCAAAATATAAAAGGCTGGACTCTCACTAAATATTGTCTTCTGCAATCAACCATCCCATACTATGTTTAGCCCTTCCTCTGAAAATAAGATATATAAAGTCAATAAAACATTATCAAAAAGAGATTAAAAAGAAATAGTATTGAAATGATAAAATAGGGAAACGCCTGAAAAAATGTTGGTATGAGCAAACTCTTTTGTATGTGCATTTATTATAATCATGCTGTAAAACAATGATGTAAATTTGTGTTGATATATCAATTTCTGTTGTATTAACAAACCTGAAAGACACCCAATTGTTTTGTTTTCATTCATTCAATAAGATATATCTACGTAAAAAGCCATTTTTCTCTCGCATCCCATTACTCCTTGTGTAGAAGTCGACCAATTCATTAATGTTACTATTATAATATGTAAATGTAAATAAAGTTTTGATATCCACAAAATATCTTCGTTGGTGAAACATGTTACTAGTCTTACAATGACGTGTCCACAACACACATAAATATTTATCAAACTATCAACACACATGTATATAATAATATAATTATATATTCAGTTTCCCTTGCCCCATAGCCGTGGCAGTTCGCACGGACAGTCCCGTATTACACGGAAAGCATACGGCGCCAAGGATTTCTACACGCAGATGATGAGTGAGGCATTTTCTATGATTGATGAGTTACAAAATGAATGTGGAGAACAGCTCTTTATGTAAGATATTGTCTGTTTCTATTCATCTTGCTGAAATAGCTGATGGTTTTGAAAATAATATTTTAAATTAACAAATAATTTTAAAAATGTCAATAATTTCGATTTCGGATAATTTCCGTGAAAATAAATAAAATTGATAATCGTTTGAAATACACTTTATTTCAGCAACTGTGGCTGTTTAGTTATTGGTCCAAAAGATGATCATTTTCTGTCCGAGACAAAGAACTGTATGAAACGATATGGTATTCAACACGATCAACTTAGTATTGACGAACAACGCAAAAGGTATCCGATGATGACATTTCCGGACAATTATGAGTTTGTTCTCGACATGTCAGGAGGGTTTCTTAAGTCTGACAAAATTTTACAGGGTTTTCAGGTACATTTTTGTTGTTGCAAATCATAATACAACATCGTAACTTTTGCATTAATGTTATCGTGATACCACTTAAAGCCCAGCAATTATAATAAGTATCTAACATGCTCGAAAACAATTATTTAAATATTATAAAACTCATGTTGGCCCTTTCTTAAGGAGGCAAAATTAATTAATTTTTGTCTGAGGAATACTGTGCCTTTAACGATGGCAGTGCATTTATTAACCTCATTATGGTCACACACCGTACCTTCCGTCCCTATAATATTTTAGTCCCGCTTTCCTAATTATATATAATAATGTATAGATATGCGTATTATACGGTTTGAAAAGTTTAACATGCACAAAACAACTTATGTCCTTCAACAAGTTCATGGAAGTTTTTCTAATCTATTTCCCGTTCAGAATGGCAACCATTCACAGCAATTGTCTCTTTTTAATATAACAAAGTTTAATACTCAGAGACTGTCGTCATATAAATAATGTTTTCTCTAATTTGACGCCTTTCTAAGAAACTAATTAAAAACCTCGTCTGTAAAACCTTTATTTAAAAGCATAAAACTCTTTAAAATACAAAATGTAGTGTCTAAAATGTATTTGTGTTAAAGATATGTATAAAATCGCATTTAGAGTCAATTTGTTCGGTATGGAGGGGTTTTACATGATGGGGAACCACTGGTGGATCTTAAGCCGGGTACCATAGTGACTGTGCAGACGACAAAAGCAGCCTACCAGGCTCGAAGCGTTGTGTTGACAATGGGTCCATGGGCTGGTAAATTTCTCCCTCGTATTGGGCTTAACGTACCATTGCAGGTGGGTAATATACGGTACATTTTAGTTTTTGTATTTGGAACATTAACATAATATGCTGTACATTTTCTGTAGAGACTCAATATTTAAATCTTTATGTAATAGTAAAAGATTACAAAAGCTAGCTACCTCCTGGAATAGACCCCTATGTTGATCATTGTCGATATTTTATACAGATCAGATACAGAATGAGCCTGCTACTATACTAATATGTATATCATACTTCAAGTTTAGCCCCTTGGGTTCAATAAAAACGTATTACGAATGTCGTATTATTAGACACGTTCGTTATTACACGCAGATTTCAAAAACGGTAATTTATTGTTTATTACATTTTTTTTCTTTCACCGGAACTATATTTACATTGTTGAAACCCTGTGAGATTTTATCAAGTTTTACGGATTTAATTTAATATCAAAATATGACACCGATAACATATTTAAATGTGCGACTTGCAGTATTTCATTTTGTTACCTAGGCATGCAACATTGTCGCCGCCGGAGGGTTCATCAGTATTATGTCTTATTTTACAGCCGCAGAAAATTACAGTATGTTACTGGAAGGACAAACATGGCAGAAATGACTTCAACATTGATAATTTCCCGACGTTCACAATGAACGGTGCTGCCGGTAAACACCATATTTACGGTCTCCCAGGAAATGAATATCCAGGACTGGTCAAAGTTAGTTATGACATATGTTCGTTAGATGTATTTGACAAGAGAAGTTATTTTTCTAATTTTATTTTTTGCTCGATATAAAATAAGCATAGACATGGAGAATTCCATAAGCTCTCAGTTTAACATTTGCATTTAATCTGTAATGCCATGTGTTGACTTTCAAGCTATACTGAAGTAACCTCGGATATCCCTACGTACGTAGCATTATTGCACGGTCACCCGAGTAGAACCATTAACCATCGGCTCCGTCATTTCCGCAGCACTGAAACAGCGATGATTTGTACGTTAATAGCGATGTATCAAAACAGATGAGAACATTAGTTCTACTAAATGTTATACTAATAGATGGAGAAAATAGCTTAATTAAATGTATACATTGAGAGGGAATTATAAGTTGCTACGGTGAAATATGGCGGAATATTCTTTTCACTCATGTTTCCAGATATGTCTTCATACGGGTCCAAATATTGATCCGGATAACAGGGACGGCGTGGACAATGCCTGGGTTTTAGACGTTATGAAGTTAGTTATTGCCTCTCATTTTCCATCTCTGGAAAGAGAGCCAAGTATTGTAGAATCCTGCATTTATACGGTAATTTTTATAGTTTTAAGATAGCGTTAATTCTTGAAGAATAAACACATAACAACACTTTTCACCAATTACAAGGCACATAAAACAACTATCACCATGCAACAGCAAAAAAATACGACTTTTCAATTTAACAAAGGCTTGTTGGCCCTTTAAGACACGTGTTATTATGTTTTATTTCTCAATAAAGTTTTATTCTTTGATGCCCTGTTGTATTTATTTTTCAAATATTACTCCTATGTCATATAGATGAGCCATCTTTTGCATTTCTGGCAATTAGTACAATTATACTTAAGTAGTATTTTGAATGGATATCAAAATACCACTTCGTTTACATATTGCTACTTATATTCTTTCACATTTGGCACTATTTTCTGCAGGTGATAAGTATCTCACATGTTCTTAATCTATTATTACAATATTATAAAACACATATATGCCCTTTCTACAAAATGGTCAGGCTTGGCAGGGAGATCAAAAGGAAACCAAGTGGTTAGGTGATTGATCGATCCTTGTAAATAATACCAAAATAACTTCCCAACTAGGGAGATAATTACATCGGACATACTTTAATATTGATCGTTTAAAAAAAGATACTTTGTCGTAGTTAAATGTGATTTAACTAGTTTAAAATTATTTTAACGCTAAAGTTATTTTCCAGTGTTTTTAAGCTTTGTTGTAATGCACACGAATTAGTTTGAGCAATACCGAAAAACCCGATGCCAATGTGAAAACAAACGGCTTATAGATCGGATTAAGTCGCGGTGTTATTAAAGTTTGTTTGCAAACGGAATCACTTTTCTGTTTTAGAAAAACATTAACGCCCGAAAACAAATGCTATTTTAATTAACATGATTTTGTGCTAGACGCCGATTCACCACAAAGTGGAAAAAACATAGTTATAGGAGCTGGATTTTCTGGTATGCATTCTTTAAGAAACAAAAAACAACCTTAAATCTAGCATTCACCCAAAATACAAATTGTAATTTTAATTAACAATAAAAGAAACAACTACGTCTATTATTCATAAAGCATCAACAGATTTTGTCTTCTCTTAGGAGTTATTGAGCCACGTAGAAAATTTTGTGCAAAATATGTTTATATTTGTTTCAGGTCACGGGTTCAAGTTGTCGCCTGTTGTTGGCAAGGTGCTGGCACAGTTAGCAACAGGACAGGATCCTTCATACGACCTATCACATTTCAAGATCGGCAGATTCTTTCAAACTAAACTGTAAACATTTGTGCAGTAACCTACCTACACATATCCGTGTACTGTGCGTATAATTTACCGAGTTATATCAGTATAAAACTTGATTTGAGTGAGTGAAAGGAGTTAAAATGCTTTTCAACTTTGGGTAATTTCAAATTAAAATAATTATTCAGCGGATGATCTAAAACAATTTGACAGAAGTTATTGGACTAGACATACATGAAATGGAACACCAATCTCTAAAAATTATTTCCCATCCCGTCCTGTCAAAATATATCAGTGAAGCCTCTTCAATTTTTCAGCAAGGGCAGCTGTCAAAATAGATACAATTGATGCATACGTTGCAATTTCAACAGTGCCTTGATGGAAAACAATAAAATTCAAATAATTTCATGTTGGTTTCCATAGATCTGATGCAGTCTGCTTATAAACAGATAGCTTGTTCAAAAAGTTTCCATAGCTGATTACATCTACTTACAAGTATTATCTGTATAAATATATCAGAGGGCAAAATGGACACGAGTCATTTATCAATAGAACATATATACGTTGTATCTTATTACACAATTTCTTTTGCCCAGTGGTTAAAGTCGCCGACTTCATATCACTTGCCTCTCACCACCATGGATTCTTTCACATGAAGTTATCCAACAAGCTTATGGAAAGCCCAAGTCGGCAATTCTGCTAAGGTAGCCGATTGTGTCTGAAATAATGCACCGAGGTTTTCCTCCACCAGGAAAGTTGGTCAGTCAGAGTTTGGTTGACTTTTAAAACAAAACAAACTAAAAGTTCTTAAAATATGAGATGATATCCGTTGATCAGTGGCAGTGGTTTGTTCTGCCAATGTCCCCTACTAACAATAACACTAATTAGTTAAGAAAACATACTCTACAAGTTAGAACTTTCTCTCTCAAATTTAGACATAATGTTAACATAACAAAATTCCAAAGGAATGCCTGGACTAATTACTATGTTTGAAACAATCTTTGATGTATTTTTGAGATGGTGTTGGTAAGTTCAAGATTTATGGACGAGATATTTTAACAACCATTGTTCAGTCATCAACAAGATTATTTTGGCTAAACAAACAAACTGAAGGAACACACTGATTTAGTTTACAAGATTTTCTTTATTCCATTTTAGACTGGATATTTCATAAATATAATTAAAACAGTTACTTAAATATACCATATAATGTACATGAATTTATATACAACAGCACTGCTACAGTCACACTTCCAACACTTATACATGTATGTGTACATGTAAATGCATATACTTGTACATACATTGTATTATACATGTACAGTTAATATTGATCATTTATGCTTCTTTACATACACCTATGCAAAAACATATTAAATCTAAATGACTTGACATAATTATTTGAATGACATTCAGTGAAGATTTCTTAATCTCAAGTATTGTATGAATTGCTCAACTCTTTTTCTTATTTTATGATTTTTTTGTAGTTCTCTTTACAAAAGTAAACCTGTTACAATTGTAGTTCATTTTTACTTTTACTATAACATAGAAAGTCTATTCCTTAAATCAAGTCATGTAAGATGGTTAAAAATTGTGTTCAATTCAATTGAACAGGAAAAAAAAGAAAATTCAAAAACATGCACTTACAATATAATAAAGTTAAAAATGATTAAACATTGTTCCATTAGTACTACATAATCACATAAATATATTTTAGTATTTAATGCATTCATTACCTTACTAAAATGGCAATTTAGAAAAACATCTGATTTCCCCAAAAAATAAAATTTACATATTTTAAAAGAAAATAATTAAATGATTAAAGTAGCAAACCCCTTTACGGTTTGACCAGGAATAGAAAAATTACTTCCCTCAGACAATTTTACCTGTCTATTGTCCAAACACAAATGGTTATGGGAACAATAATAATATCTTTCCCATGAAAAGGATGTATGTTTGCATGCCATTTAATGATCTGTCATCACAAGAAATTGAAAAATAATATGTTAATTAATAAGAAAATAAGCTACAAATAACTGTTAAATGTTGACATTATTTTTCCCTTACTACATGTAATCACATTAACACAGTATCACAAATTTAATGTCACACTTCATTTTGCATAAGGTCATATAATTCATTTAAAGTCATGTGACATATTTTACATTATGACCTTGACCTTTTACATTTGGCACTTGACCTTTTTCAAGCTCGCTATTTTTGTATCAGTCAAACCAGCATATTCAATATAATACCTTTTTTACATTATCTTTGATACTATAAATAGTAACATTACAAAATTGTGATTATGTGGCGTCTGCCAAGCCTTGAAAGCACAAAACTAGGACATAGTTCTCTGCTTTTTATTAAGCTGCCACTTTATACATAATAATCTCCATATATGTAATCAGAGAATTTATCAATATTTTGATTTATCACCTTGACCTATATAATGAAAGGTCAAAGTTCAGTTGCTGTTGAATCCTCAGTAAAATTTCCTGTAGAGAGATTTAGTTGCACGTGCCCGGGAATTTGGTAAATGAAAAAATCATCTCCTAGATGCAGTGTGGTCAGGCATCACCTTAAAAAAATAAAAAGTAAAGAATTAAAACACATGTTAAAATGTTGTTTTTTTTAATCAAACAAAAATTTAAAATCTTAATTGAAGCTGATGAGGAAGATAGAAATTTGAACAGCAATATAGGAAATACAAAAAGTAATTTAATGAAATCTGGAATATACATGTATATATACTATACGATTCATGACCTGTATGACCTTTGATAATATTTGTTGTAAAATTCTGTTTACAGTAACTGAAAAAAGGAGCAATCAAGGACATACAAACATTTTCCACTTGGAAAAGAGACAAGAATGTTGAATTTAGCATTTGTTAAACCTATCATATTATATGATGTTTCCAATACATTTATTTTGATACTTTATGGAAACAATATCTTAATTAAACTACATCTATATGTACTTTACTTTTTTAAAATACATTTCTGAAGAGAAAAAGTGATCAAAGAACGTAAAACTTGTTTTTTGTGTAAAACATGTTAATAATATCTTGAACATTTGAATATCTATATTTAAAACAAGTATATACCCAGATCCCTGTATTTTTATTCTATATATTTTTGAAGGGCAAGCACCAATTTTAGAACATGTTAGATATCACAATATATTATGATAGAATATACAAAATTTTATATAGAATATACCTTTATACATTTAGGTGAATAAACATGTATTGTATCATATCAAATCTGATTTTATTAATAGAATAACCATTCTGTTATTAAGATAATAAAAATTGTGAGTGACTGTAGACATGCATGCAGTTATCACACATGAGATTTCCATGCAGAAATGACATTTAATGGCATGAGTATGATGTGACATATGCCAGGACAATGATACATATCATCAGTGTAGGAATTCAATGAACTATTTTTGCATTCAGTTTTTATAACATGCACCTTTAACTTCATACAATGACAATTTAGCTGATGTTTGTTGTCAACAAAACTTTTCTACTTTTATTGAAACATCTTACAATGTTTGTTCAGGGCATTGTTAAATATTTGCATTGTGAACTTTGTACCTATCCTAAAACCCTCACAGCTTGATGTATTTAATTCTAGTATATGATATAACTGTATTAACTCCTTTTTAAAGCTCTTAAGTTGAGCGTATTCAGCCCAAGAATTGTCTGTGGACATCAGCCTCTATTTTTCTCAGTGCTTGATAGTTTAATAACAGCAATATAGAAAAGATGGCATATTCCATAATTCTGTATAAGAAAAAAAGCTTGGCAGGCTTGCTTCCTCTTGATAGTTAACAAATATTTCACTTAAACGTTTTTGAGAAAAAAGAAAAAGGGGAATAATTAAGCAAATATGGCTTTCAAGATTATCTGACCCTTAAACATTGATAGTGAACATATACTCCCAAGTTTAAAGTGAATATCTTTGATAGCTTTTGAGTCTTTGAAAGTGACCTTGGCCAAAAAAAAAGGTCTATAAGAGCCATAACTTTGCAGAAATGAATTTTAGGATTGATATCTGTCTTTTTTGAAATGGTGGTGAACATGTATACTAAGTTTAAGTTAACAACTTAGTTTCTGAGAAAATGGGCCTTAACAAAAAGGTTTACAAAAGTCAGAACTCCAAGAGAAAAAAGCTAAAAAAAAGAAAGAAATCAATGTCTTTATTAAATTAATAAGGTCTGTTGAAAAAGGAAGATCTGCAAATTAAAAAGTAAGCATTTAATAAGAGGAAGAAATTAAATAAAATCCAATCTGGTACACTTTTCAATCCATTCTGTGAGGAACTTAACAGATTCTATCAGCCTGAGTATTGGAGAAAGCAAGGATGGAAAAATTCATGAACATAGCGAAATAAAGTCGAATCGAAAGACAACTCCGGGAAAAATCATTTCACACTCCGAGTGATTTTAACCCATAATGCATTTCTTCACTACATGTTCCTTTGATACGTACTATGTTCTATACTATTGGTTAATCTAGGACTAGAAGGTGTGTCTGTGAGGCCACTTGATGCCGAGTTCAACCTTGACGATCGTGTATCACTCTCTAAACTTCTCCGTCGGGCACCTAAAGGCGAGCGTTTATGTTTCGCTAAAAAAGTGTCAATATCCGACCCAGAATCCTCATCCTCTACATCACTGGAAACGAGACAAAAACAAAATGGCTTCTATACACGTAACATACAAAACACAAATAACAAAAACATATACAAACCTAGCAAAACTTTCAAATTCCTAAATTTGTATGATATAAATTAAGACTCTTGCATACAGGCAGAGATAGGAAATATAATTTTACAGTTTTTCCAACTATGTGCATGGATAGTGTTGATATATTCCTGCAAACTGGTTGTACATTGTATCCTTTGTATGACCAATATATTTCATATTTGGTCAATTTCTCATGGGTTATGATTTAAAAGAGATAACTCTCGCTTTTTATGAGATACTTATATTTTTCCAGATATGCCGTAATCCTTAATTTGAATTCTTGAGAACTGAAATCTGTGTGTTGAATCTGAATAGTCGACACTTTCAAAACAACTTTGAAATCGACCAGCAAATTCTTGGAATTGTTCCTAAATCTCTGATTAAGAAATCTGATAAATCACAGATTTGCAAAAAGAATGCACAATATCATATAAAGAAGTTCTTAAATAATTCATAATTTTGTTGATGAATGAGACTGAATGACGATGATACTGTGTTAGCAACTACAGGATTCCAGATACATTTAGCGTGGACAAATACGATATATATAAATAACAATATATACTACCATGTGTATGTATATTTATCAAAAATGGTGACAAGAAATAAATGAATAAATGCAAGTGATTGGTAAGATAATTAATTACATGGTAAAAACTCTACAAACACACATAAAACACACACTATTAGGTTGAAAAAAAACAACTCCATGCGATGCAAAGAAATAAATTATTAAATTTTTATTTTTAATTTAGTACTTAAATCTTTTGTAGGAATTAAAATCTATTCTAAGAATCCTTAAAGGAAGCATTATTGTTCTAAAATTATAATTTACTCAGCTAGGCTCTAATACCTTCTTTATTTACACTATCACTTTTGCCTTCAGTTTCACTGGATAGAATAATTGTTTTTTCAAAAATAAAACTAAAGCCTTTTGTTCATTTCATTGCAAATCAAAATTGACTTCTGATTTAAAGTTTAAAAAATTCAAAATTGAGAACAAGTTTTTCATCTTGGAACAAAATTATGAACACATAAAACACATCTATAATAATTTTTCAAATAGCTTAATTTAAACCCTGAAAATAAAACCAGACTATAAAGTAAATTTCAAATCATTCTTAAATGATCTTGATAAAGTCAAAACAGCTTTTCCCTTATCTTTCTATTTATAGAAACAACACAGTTAATTAACCTTGACTTTAACAAGATATTTTATTATATTGACATTATGACACATGACCATGACCTACTTTATGATAATTATTACTATTTTCTTAAGGTGACCCCTGTAATTGATATAAATGACCTTTACCCTAGTATAGAACATGACCTTGACCTACCTATCAGAAAAGTCATCATCACTGTCAAGACCTTCCTCAAGGGCTGCTTGAAGGTCAGCTATTCTCTTGAAGGCAAGTTTGAGGTCAGACTGGTTTTGCTCGAAATCACCCTCCAATTCTGCTACCTTGTTTTCCTGAAAAATATATACATATTCAATGTTATAATCACTTAAACCCAGAATATATGTGTGTATTGATGTTTACCTATGACTGGCCAAGCATATGACAAGTATTCAAAGAGAGAACTAACAACTTATTTTTAAAACACTATCTATCGGCTTATCTTAAAAAGGCAATGTCTGACAACACTGATAGATTCTCTTCAATGACTCTCACCAAGTTAAAAGCAATGCTTTACAAAAATGAAAAGAGGGAAGTTCTATTTTTAGCCTCCATGACCATGACCCAATCCATATAAAATATAAATAAAGGGAAGAAGTTGTTGTAAAGTAACACCAAGATGATACAAGTCAATAAACAAAGGTGCTTTGAAAAACGGTAAGTATGTGTGTCAGAAGAAGGGACAATCCAGCCACCATATGTTCCAGAGAAAGATTTTGGATAACTTTAATCTATTACAAAGATTTCTTTCTTCAACATTTAAGTAGCCTTTTCTGTGACCTAATATCTTCTTTATCTCTGTTTATTAAACTTAACTTGCAGAAATATCTGAACATGGCTTCCATTAAGTTTCAAAATTTGGATGTCAGAGACTGCAAATTTTCTGACACATTAGATGTTACATTATATAGGTAAAGAAAGAAAACTATGACATCTTGGAAATCACAAAACAAATCAAGGAGTAAATGACTCCCAAATTTCACTAATGGAAGCCTTGTTTGAAAGAAAAGTAAGTCTATTCCCTATACAGATTTCGCTAGTTCATCTTTTTACCCAAGAAATCAACTTAAGCCTTCAAGATAGCTAAGATGGAGAAAATAGGTATATACTAATTGTGTACCATAGTTCAACTCATTATAATTTACGAAATCACTCACATTTTCTTTAAATTTTTATGAGCCATCTCTAATTCTCTCTTTTGAACATCTGAGAATTCTTCTCTCAAATCTCGTAGGTTTCTCTGAACCTTTTTGATATTTTCTTCTGCCTGGGATTTAGCAGACGTCAATTGTTCCTTCTCTTCTGAAAATCTGTCTGCCTGCTCCTTCATTCTGTTCACTTGGACCTAAATAAAGGACATGAAAATAATTTTTTTAAACTTTGTGTGTGCAAATGTGTGCTTGAGATTTGTTTGTTTGTTTCTGTCACAAGGAAAGTTACCCTTTGGGCAAGCAAATACTCAAATACTTCATCAAATTATATATGAGGTCAAAATCAATATAAGTTCACTTCAAATCTGTGAATAAAATCATCAAACAAATCTGAGTATAAATTACAAAGTTCTACAGAATTTACATTTCATATTTGAAGTTGAGGGTCAAGGATATTTAAAATATCTCTATTTACCTCTAATCTATGCTTGTTTGTGGTCTCTAGATCAAGTCTGGCCTCTAGATCTCGTATCTTATTCTCTAATCTCTGAACAACTGTTTTATCCACACTACCATCTTCATACGTCTGAATTCTTCCCTTCAAATCATTCACCTAAAATACATAATATACTAGTATATTTGTATAAAGTTAAAATAAAAATTACATTGTCCAATTTCTTAAAGTTTGCTAAAAAAAATATGGAAATAGACAATAATTTACTTTCTCAAGTGGTGAAGGTAAAATACAAACATGAAGACAAACAAAGGTATATAACAAGCAACTGAAAAATTTTGACTTATTATATAGTATATTGCAAATTCAAACATGAAAAACATCCCATCTACACCAATATGGTAATCATTAATCAAGCAAATGTATCATATTTCATATAAGCATTTCTACTCAATTTCATGTATCATCTTTAAATACTCCCAACTTTGGAGTTTATCTAAATCATATTATAACTCTTTCACTGCAGACAAATGAATCAACCCATGTTGCCAAGGACAAACCATGATCAGCCTGCACATACATGTCATCTGATAATAGCCTGCACTGTTTGCTATTCAGTCAGTACGTATTTTTGTAAATTCCCTAAAAATGATCAATGAATTTTTCCAAATTAAAAGATGGAAAAGTTCATGCAAGATTTCAACATGGAAAGGATTTAATAAGCATGTCCTGTATTGTCATTGAAACAGATCCTGTTAATATAATGTTTATAAATATAAAATACTTAAATTAAAGTAGCAAACAATACACAGCCTTGTTGTCTTGTTAGTGAGGCGGTATACTGATGGAAATAGCAAGTTCTTATTGACATTAGTATTTCAAACCTACCTCTGATCTAAGTTTATCTCTTATCTATAGTGAGTTTCTCTATCTGAGCCAGCTGATCGTTCATTTTAAATTTGATTCGACCGTCTGCTGCTGTACCACTGCCTTGTATTTCTTCATAATATCTGCCATATCTTCCTCATTCTCCTCTAAATTTCGTGACTGGATCTCTGTTCTTCTCCCGTAATAATGTCATACTCCTGTTCTCAATCTGTAAACCAGTCAAACAAATTAAATTATTTTTACCAATTGTAACTTAATGTTT